CAGCTGAAGAAGACAAAACAAATGACAGAAGAGTGGCCCCAAGGTGGGACAGCTTTAAAGGTGAGTTGTTGGTACGTACTGACAGTTCAGGGATTCATCTTAATGTTTTTACTACCGAACGAAAAATTAAATCATTTTGATCATTGGTTTTCAATTGGTTAAATGTTAATTTTGATATTTAATTTTATAATGTTATATAATTTTTATTTTTTAATTATTTTTTTATTTTTTTATTTTTTAATTATAAAAATTACATAATTTTAATCACTTCATCAATTAACTGACATTTAATTGTTAAATATTTCAGAATGACATATTTGTTATGTTGTGTAATAACACATTATATAATTAATTACTAAAATACTCAAATTCACTCATAAAGTATAGTGATGGGGATAGATCCACTCCCAAACAAAAAAAAAAGACAAATTCATCCACAAAGTTTTCGACTTATATAAATCACCCTAAATTTAACTTGTGACATCATCTAACATCAGTAATCTGTTAATTCATTAACGGATTGCTGACATCAGATGACGTCAAATTAACATATTGCTAATGTTAAATGATGTCACACGTTAAATTTGGGATGATTTGTCCAAGTCAAAAACCTTGTGGGTGAATATGTCTCCGTTTTTTATTTGAGAGTGAATCCGTCTCTACCACTATACTTTAGGGGTAAATTTGGGTATTTTGCCTAATTAGATTATGTAGACATAAAAATACCAAACCAAATTCTACAACATTAAACAATTTACAAATTAAAAGATAAGAATACAATTTTACCCCCACTTTCATCTTCTTCATGGTTCTTCTTCTCTCTCACTGTTCATTTTCACTTCTTCTCTACCATTGTCTATCTCCCTGTCCCTTTTCCTTTCACAATCATCTAAGCCCTCCTTCTCCTTCTCCCTTTGAAAAAGAGAGCATTTTATTTCTCATCTCACATTGCTAACAATAACAACAAAAAATTTGATAGTCCAGTGTTAAGTAAAAAAAAAAAAAAAAAGAGACAAGAAAATCTATTTTTGGTTTAACGAGAACCCTTTGATGGGTTCGTAAGAACCCTCCTTGGGTTCCTCATGAACCCAGATCATCTCTATAAGGGAATGAGGGCGAGGGGAGAAGAGAAACAGTGATGAAGAGTAAGGGAGGGATTAAAATTGTACAGTTTTTAAAATTAAGGAATAAAAAAAGCACAAAAAATAGTCAAGAAATAAAAATTGTGCAATACAATAAAGTTGACGGATCAAAATTAGCATTTGACCATTCCCAATTTCATAGATTTTTTGTTTCTGTAAATAATTTCACATATTTAACCTATCTGATTGTTTAAAGTTTTGGTCTGATCAGATGCTAATATAAAATATAAAAAATTAGAAAGGTATATAAGTTCTAACTTAAAAAATTTAGAATTTTAATCTTAAATGATATTATTTTATTTATTTGAAATATAATTTAAATTTTAAAAATTCACTATATTAATAAATGTTTATACTTATATTTAAAAATTGATTACATATTTTAATATAATTAAATTTTAAATTGATATATCAATATTTAATATGATGAATTTTTAAATTTTAAATTAAGTTTTTAGTTTCTAAATATAGATATTAATTTTTAATAAATAAAATAGATTTTTAAATTTTAAATTAAATTTTAATTAAATGAAATAATATCATTTAAAGTTAAAATTTTAATTTTTTTTAAATTACAACTGAGATACACTATTCTCATACAAAGTATATAACTTATATAGTAAGTATATTTTTATGCATCTTGAATGTTAAAATATGCTTTGCTTAAAAAAATAAAAATAAAAATAAAAAACAAAGGTTGTTTTTTTCATATGAAAGGACAGAGATCAAATCCTGTTGGAGGGAGGTTGCACTTTATCCAAAATCTTGATATTAACAAATAATATTGGTTGTAAATAATTTCTTCAAAGGTTTCTTTGGACTAGTGGCAAAAATTTAGGTCCAATGAATTGATTAGGTGAAGAGTTCTGGCCCCATTGGTGAATTTTGGTTATTTTAGAACTTTGTCCTACACCTTGAACCGGTCAGTAAGCTGGTTCACTGCTTTACTAAATTTCCCGGATCATACTGGTTTTTATTGGCTCAACCCCACAAACGGTTTTACATATTTGACCAGACCAGATTAGCAATTTGGTAACAGTTCAACTGGTTTAACTGATCAGTTCGGCCAAATTTTAAGAACATTAGTTCATCTGTTTCAGTACCTCTCACCAAGTGCAGTGGTTGATATTTTAAAGAAAATAATTGGTATATATTTAGTTTACTATATTTTTTTAATATTTATTTAATTTAATTATTAAAATATAATATAAAAATAACTTGATTTTGTTAGTTCTACATCTTAAATCCCATTGAAGCATTTTAACTTTATTTACCTTTAATTTTAGATAAAAACTAATAATTTTTAAAACATATATATTATATAATGTATTAACTTCAAAAATATACTAATCATAGGCTATATTTTAATCTTGAATGATGATATGCTAGTGCATTGCACGTTTGCAGATTCTACTTAAGGGTTAATTTTACATCTTAAATCCCATTGAAGCATTTTAACTTTATTTACCTTTAATTTTAGATAAAAACTAATAATTTTTAAAAAATATATATTATATAATGTATTAACTTCAAAAATATACTAATCATAGGCTATATTTTAATCTTGAATGATGATATGCTTGT